CACAATGCACATGTGAATCAGTGCGATAAGGTGTCTTTGTATAGTCCCCGGGGATGAAAGGAGCTGCTTTGCACAGTTACACAGAAGATTGCTTACAACTGTGTCTCATATTGAGGTCATGATGTCAGAGGTCAGAGTTTTGAGTTTCATTGTGTTCGATTGCAGTGGTCATTCTCCAGGGACATTAGCCTTGACCTCCTGGAGGATTGCACATCTTTATGCGCGCTCATTAGTTCTTTTGGACTCCCTGTTAGTTAATTTCCATTTCTTTTGCACGGAGAAAGTGATATACAGAGTGAATTTTAGTCTTATGATATTAGGCAGAAGAAGGTAACTCCATGGCTGCTTCTTTCTGTCACTTCTCGTTGTTTTAAGAATCATTGCTGGAGGTTCTTATGTTTTTGGCAATTATGATTCAGCCATTTCAGCGTGAGCTCATGCACATACCCAGTGGTGTGTGTGTAAGCTGTGCTGTGTTCACAGGGGTCACAGGGGGTAGGAGAAATGTAGGTATGAGAGAAGTCATAGAGCGTGTTCCAGGAGTGTGTTTCAAAGGCTTTCTAAGTGTGTGCTCCCTTTACCCTGTGGGCTTTAATGCTATTTTCAGAAGATGCCCCTCTCCGTGGAACTTTTCTTGGATTTTTTTTTTTTTAACTGCCCTCTTTTTGAAGGCTCCTGTTACCATGGTTACTGTAACCCTGAGTAAAATGTGTTGTGGTAGTGAGTACACCCTTAAGTGGGAGCACACATTTCAGTAGTCATGGTTACAACAACCTCTAAAGAATGAATTATGTAACTTCTGTTGTGTTTTGTTGGAAATAGTCGCAAGCAGCTTTACATACTTTTCCTTTTGTTTAGACAAATTATAAAGTCAGTCACTGCTACCGCATGAATGTGATGTAGTTCATAATTTACTTGTTTGTGTGTATGTGTCCAGGTACGTGTGGACTAAATATGTATATTTTCATGCATGAATAAACTCGCCCCCCCCCCACCCCACCCAATTGCTCCATGTCCCACAGGCCATCACTGTGTCAACAACCAGAATAAGAGGACGCTGCACACAGCGGCAGGTCTTCATTTGCCTTTCATGTCACCACATATTTATCTGTAGTGACTATGATACACCCCAACTGCACAGGTCTAATATGTATCTTTAAGAAAACAGTATTAGTCTAAACTAGTTGTGTCTCTTTTTCCAAAATATTATCCAGAAAAAGCAACACTCAAACAGTTAAAAAGGAAGAATTGTTTTGATCTTTTTGGGCACAAACTGCTGGCATATTTCTGCCTGACACGGAGCATTATGACAGCTCTCTTTGTACATGCCCAGCATGCAAATAGCAAGAAATCAATTGCACTTGGATTCAAAAAAAAGATTAACATTTTCTGATCTTTTTATAAATTGCCCTTCACATCTTGTTCATACTCAGATCAAATGTTTTAAGTGTTGAGCAGACAGAGGAGCCAATATGCCGTTCAGCAAAAAGCATGTACAAATGTATTCATGCGTGCATTGGGTACATCAGCTTTTACACAGTGTTAAAACATGCATGTGCTCTGGATGGCTGCTGAGATTAATAGCCAAATACCTTCAGCAGCTCGATAAAGCACACATCTCATTTGTAAATAAAGGGAGAATTTCCCGGTTGTGTTTATGTTGATTGTTTAACATTCAAGTGGTCTCTGTATCTTGTGCTGACTGTTGATTTAGTTCAGTGAGCTGTCATTGAGCCAACCCCTCCTAGTAGAAAGACTTTATAGACTATGTGTAAAGACCCTGACAGGCGTAAATGATGTGCTGTATAGGGAATGCCTCTGAAGAGTCATCCATGTATCAGCAACTGATCAGTTAATAGAAAAGATGGTGATAGAAGGTTACATTTGAAAGAATATATTCTTATCCTGTGAGTAAAAAATGTTAAACTCTGAACTGCTGCTGTGCCATAAAATGTACGTGGAAGATTAAAAGAGACGATCAAACATGACCTTTGTATAGGATAATGTGAGTTTTATATTGATGTATTATATGCGCTGCCTCTGGTGTTAGCAGAATCCTGCACACTACTCTTGCTAAGTATCAACAATTTATCAGAAAAATCATAACGTTTCAGTCCCTCTGAACATTTGTCAACACCATAGACTGTAAGGTCAACACACTTGACAAAGGTTCAGAGGAATTAAACAAAGATGGAAAAACAAATTTCCTCCTACAAGTTGTTCAAAATGTACTGTTAAGCATGTCCTCGAGGTGTATACTTACATACTCTCAGCTGTTTTGATAAAACCCTGAGAAAACCTTTAATTTCTTTACAGGATGCTGCTTCCATTTGGTTTTGAATAAATTGAAATAACATGCTGAAAAGGATGAAAAGAAATCCTTCAGGGTACCAGAGAGGTCGAATATTTTGACCCTGAGAATTACTGAGTCAGTTTTTCTCCTGTTCTGTTGTCAAGGAAAGGGTGGCAAACAGTTTTCAATTTTAACACCAAAAGGGAAATCTGACATACTGCCAGTTAAAAAAGGGGGAAATCCAAAGCTGCCTATTGGTCTTTAGATTTTGAATGTGTAAAATGTTAAACATATTTCCCCCCCCCCCCCTAAACTCCATACTTAGCTGGGCAATTATTTTCCCAAAGTCCAAAAATACTTAAAACATAATAGACTAAACATGTTTTTGACCTTTTCCAAGTCTTTGGGCTAAGATCATTTATACAATAAATAATCCAAATTGCAAGTGTTCCTCCAAAAGACAGAATCAAACAAATAATTAAGTTCACAGACGTTTCCAATAAAAAACAGATAATGATATTAATAAAACTTCACTTATTCATCAAATTGGTTTCTTGCCAAGATAGCCAGATTATCCTTAATTCTCTGGCCTATTGTGTAAAATATTCAGCTGTGAAAAATGAACTTGTTCTTTAATGAAAGAGCTAGAATGTTCAGTGAGTCCTTGAACGTACCACAGCACCCAGCGCGGGGGGGGGGGGGGGGGGGTGGAGTCATATGAGACAACCAGGTGTTACCTGTGTGGCTGCTGTGTGTTATGTAATTATTTTCAGGCCGCACATTGTTCCCTGATGTGTTAGAGGTTGATATTTTTACCTTTCTTTTGGTGAATGTGTTCAAGCTGTCAGAGAAGCAAAACCACTCCTCCAGTTTCAGATGTCTTTTTTCAGCAGAATCATAAAACACAATAATAAGCTGTCTTTAGCGAGCCTGAGAAAGAATTCGTCATGTTTTGAATTAAGTGCGAGCTGCATTGTTGGTGCTCTGACCTGCAGATCACAGGAAACAAACGCAGAGTGACGAATTGATTCTTTCCCTTCCACACTTTTCTCCACCTCTCTGTGTTTCTATTGTTCACTCGTGCCTGTCTCTTTGCTGTACAAACCCCGTCCATCTCTCACCCCTCTGCTTCTCCGGCTTCCTTCTATTTTGCTTGCTCATGTGACATGTCAGTTTGCGTCCTCTCTCTCTGCTTTAGAGCATCTGACTGTTTTTTTTTCCCCAAACCCAATCTGCTTTGTTTTTCTTCCAGGATTTTATCTCCCTCTTTTCCTCCATCTCTCTTTCAGCTCTATTTTATTTGTCTCAGTCTAACAGGAATTTGAGTCAGTAACCTCACTTTGTTCATTTTTCTAATCCTCCGAGTCTTAACAAAGACAAATCCTCCACTCAACCTTTTCTCAACCTTTGAGCACAGAGAAGTCAAATTTATCTTTCCGTCTCGGATTGTCTTTCCCTTAATACCTTCATCTAAACTTACATCTGCTCTTACCTTTCTGTTTTACAGCTCACCTAACATTTCTGTCTCTCTGACTCATCTTTATCACCACAATAAGTGCTCATAAGTCTGATTGGTCTGGTATCTGTTTGTTATATTTTCCCTTTTTAACAACTTGTTTTCAATAATTGTTTCAGTTACTTTGTTTTTTTCTAAGTATATTATTAATATATAATGTGACACAGAGTTCGTAGTGACAAGTGCTGATGAAAAAAGATTCACCAAAGGGTGCATGTTTATCCTTGCTATAATTATGCTCAAAAATATACCAAGAACCCTACATTGCTCTGTCCACAGCAGAGAGGCTTTAACAAGCCCTGTTTCAGAAGTAAACTGACGCTTTAACATCCAAAAGCATTTAAGTGATTATTTGCTCACTTTCCTTCCACGAAGCAGATGAGAGGATTGATACCTCTCTCATGTTTGTAGGGTAAATATAAAGCTCCTGTCAGTATAAAGACTTGAATCAGTGCAGAAACAGCAGGTTACAAACAAACACAAGAGCATAAAGTATGCCTCGTTTAAATACAAATTGTCAGTTTAGCTCTGTTATCTTTGGACAGAGCTACTCTAGCACTTAACCCCTTTTCTGAGTTGTCATGCTAAGTTAAGCTAACTGGCTACTGGCAATAGCTTCATAGACAACATACAGGTGTATCCAATTTCTTATTCCTGTTCTTTTTCCAAGACAAGGAATAAGAAATTGGATGCCAAAGTTTTCTTTGAAGAGAGAAAGAAAGAAGGAGCAAGAAAGACTGACCAAGAAAGAAAGGATACATTTTTTGTAGAATATTAGCCTTGGTGCTTCTGACTGCCTCCTCTGTTAGGTAAACCTTCCCCTGCAGACTTATGTGGTGCCTGAATGGAACATTTTTTAAATTGGTTGCTCCCATATAGCAACAAGAATAGTAGAGTGGTTCGGTATTAATTTTGGATCTCAAGTCCTGGCTCAAAATTGGTTTCCCTGCTTATTCATGAAGTATTAAAAGGACTTGAGTTCTTCCAAACCAAACTTTGGAAAAGTGTTTCTCTAATACCGCTCATCGTTCATTAGGGAAGTGTAGTTTTAAAAAAAGGGTTGGACTATTGTATAATTTGGATGAATTGAAGGACCGGAGCCCAAATGTGAAAAACAGCACAATACCTATAGTACACAAAGCATGCAGCTGGTTATGTTCATGTGAGTTTGTGTGTGTTTGGTTCCAACAGGACTCCAGGTAACAAACCAGGCAGCAGCCCCAGAGGTCAGACCCCAGACGAGACCGGACGTCGCCACAACGGACACTCCTCTGTTGACTTGGCCAACTCAGTCACCAGCGACATGCTCACGGTAACACACAATATTATCACATTTTAGCTGTAGCAGCAAAAACACATTTTAATAATGAGACACTAGAAACTCGTCCTTAGTCCATTTGTTTTCCACTTTGCTCAACTCATCTATATTTAGAGGTGGACTGCTGTCAGGAAAGACTTTTAAATCATAATTAATGAGATGTCCGAGAGACTTGAACGGCGTTCCAGATCAGCTTTCTTAATCAAAAAAAAACTAACATGCAGACCTTGAACCAAACGAGCAATGCCATTCATGCTTTCTATTGACTCAAAAAACACAGCAACATGTCACGGAACGAAACAACATCTTCTGATGTGTTTTATTGTTGACTGTAGCTAAAACAACTCACCAATATTGTAACTTTTGTTATTGTGCTTTAGTGAGAGTTAAGTGTGAAGTGTTTTATTTTCTTACAACTCCTTTGTAGCTGTGGCCTTTTATTTTTAGCCATGCCATTTTGTTAGAGTAATGGGTGATATGTGAGAACAATTTTGCACCTTCAGACAATCATGTGGGTGTTAAAGCCAACATTTTGTGTAGGAGAAAAAATGTTCAGATCGGTCTTTATTGTAGCTGTGGCCATCATTTTTCATTTAAGTTTACAAGATGTTTTTAAAGTTTCTGACAAAAGTTGTTATAAACCAGACTTAACAATTGCAGTCACTTTGCTTGAGGTGCTTTCATGTATTTGTATGCCGCCCACTGTCAATAATACTCTGTTGTTTCTGGAGGAGATTGTGAGAAAAGAAAGCCTACACACTTCATTATTTGACCATAGTCCAATGAAAAGTTATGCAAAAAGTTTTCTTCCTCACAAGTCTTTCATCACTCAGAAAGTAGTCTTCATCCCAGTCAGCTCGTACACCTGTTGATCATCACAGTTCGTTATAACTGTACAGTATGGATCTGCATACTGGAACATATACAGTAATCATCACCCTGAAGTGAGATGGTGGGACATGTGCTTTATTCAGCGACGTTCATAATTAGCAAGAACCCGCTGTGCTGTGGGTGCAGAGAGAATATGGCAGACATGGGTATGAGCAGTGTGTAATTATGTGGCTCACATGGTATGTCTAAGGGACTCATACTGGTGGTGGGTGCTAATGATAATACTCATTCCAGGCAGTTTTGCCAAAGGCTTCTATAAATTACATAGCCCTCCTTTCATGCTGAAAATACCCATACAGCACTTTTGAGCCTCTTGTGCTTCTGTAGAAAAAGCAATGGCTGACAAAAAAAGGGATGCTATGTAATGGCTCTGAATGTCAAAGTACATATACATCCAACCTCTCAAGTGGCTCAGGTGATAGGTGTTGGAGTAGGATGTGTTGGAGTTGTGTTAGCATCACATGGCTTTTATCAGGATGTACTCTGACACTGCTTTCATTTTTGTGACGCTAATAGATCAACAGATAGCAGTAAAAGGTTGTGCAAATGTGTCACCACACATGTACACAATTGTGATGTTCTTTGCTATATTTTTGTTAAAAGATAAGGCAGAGGATGTAACTTGTTTTATTGTCAGTATTTTCACCAATGGGCGTCTGTAGCCTAGTTGTTAGTGTGAGCCCCATGTACAGGAGGAGGCTGTAGTCTTCCAGGCGGGCAGCCCGGGTTCGGGTCCTGTCTGTGGCTTCTTTCCTGCTGATGTTCCCCTCTCTCTCTGTCCCTGGTTTCTGATTCTATCCACTGTCCTGTTTCTACAATGAAATCATTAAAGCCCCCCCCCCCCCACAAAAAAAAAAAACATTTTCACGAATACATCTGTTCCAGTCTGTATTGACATAACCTGTTGTACTCACCCAAAAAGGCAACCCATTCATATAGGAAATATCATTAAAAAAAAAAAGAAAAACGGTATGTATCCTTCATTTTTCAAAAAAGGGATAAAATCATTACTAAAACATTGGCGCAACATTTGGAATACATAACAGATAAGATTAAATGGTATACTTGGGGACTAAATTCAACAGTAGATTAATAAAAGTTTTGTTGGTATTTACAGCAGCTGGAGGGTGTATGTAGAAACAATTTATAATGAAGTATAATGGCAATTTAAATTTTAATGAGGAAACATGTCAGCCAGTGCAACATATAGCTCCATTATGAGTTTTAATAGTGTTTAGATAACAGCCGAGGTCAGGTCTGAGGAATAAACCTGATCGAGCTTTTTTCAAATAGATCATATTTGTCTCTGTAGAACCATTCATTGTTGGATTTGCGTTTTCCCATTGTTTTTTTATCAATTAAAGTAAACGGATATCACCAGGTGTTGTTTCTATTAGTGCTGTGCAAACCTGGCAACAACTTGTGCCACAAGAGAATTGGCATCTCCAGCACATGGGTTGTTTTGGTATCAGAAAAAGAAATTACAGAGGAAAGTTTAAAAACTGAATGAGAGTGGAGGACTCTGGGAAAAAGAGAAGGGCGCCCAATGCACAAAATGGGGAAAAGCAATTTAGGCCAGCTGTTGGGTGGAGGAGTGCATAATGAAAAGTGATCATATTCAGCATGGAGAATGAGACTGAGCAGCACCATCAGAAATATGTGGAAGAATACTGAATTGGATATTACATTCCTGGAACTGCTCCTTGAGTAATGCCTCCAGCTCTTCCCCAATCAGATAACACTTTTTTTAAACTGGCTTTCTCTACCTCCCTCAAGGCCATGCCACCATCAGTCAGAGGGTATGTCAACCATCAGATAATCTGCCTCTCATCTCCACACAGCCATGGACACAAATGCCTTTATCACATAGCATGAAGCTAGTTTGTTTGTTTGTGGCTTTGTTTTTAATGCTGGAGTTTAGAATGACTCCCTCAATTGAATCAAAGTCTACAATTAATGTTTTACCACTTGTCAGCTCTTTTGTATGTGTTTAATCTGTGTGTGAACAGGCTGTTAATATTGCTAAGTGTTTGAACAAGTGGTCTGATAAAAAGTGGTATAATTCTCACGGTGCAACATTGTGTGTACTCTTAAACAACACATTGCTGGACTAACATTGCCAGCACAATTTGCAATTTCAAAAGATGACAGTTGTTTTCATTTACTCATTCAGTGCTCTCTGTTACATAATAGACACTCAGTAGTTTATTATATAGAGAGCTAACACAGTCTGCAGATGAGGACTTTGTGGTGGTGTTAAAAGCTCCTGAACAAGTGAGTACATCTCGACTCAAGTTTATTCCATCAACAACTTCATGCTCATATTAAAACGTGTGATGCTGCTGATTTTTAGTGTATAATCTAATGACATTGTTTCCTCCTAATTTACCTGAATAAAATAAGGTTGACTAAATGTAAGACACACCTTTTGTATAATAGTGAAATATAATTCAACAGCAACACAAGCACCAGCAATCAAAAAATCTGGTAACTGTGTGTTTTTCTTCCAGTCTACTTCATGATGGAAATGTTATTAGTCACTTAAAGAACAAAGGTATCATAAAGAAATGTGATTGGGTCTTATAATGTATCTATGAGAGGTGTTCGTTGTAAGACAATCTTTACTCAGGATTGGTCCAAACATTTTAAACAGAGCTACATTTTTAGAAAGAAACCAATATAGTCTGCCTCCAATACAATGTTGCTAAATTATACATGATGCTTGATGCTTCTAAACTTAAATTAAGGTAATTAAATAAAGTTGTCTACTCCTCCCGTTTCTCTCAGATGTCTCCAGGTTCAGAGGAAGATGATCACGAGGGTCCGGTGTGTGAGAAGTTGGGTCGTATTCAGTTCAGCGTTGGATACAGTTTTCAGGACTCCACCCTCACCGTCAAAATCCTCAAGGGCCAGGATTTGCCTGCTAAGGACTTTTCTGGCACCTCTGATCCGTTTGTCAAACTCTACCTACTGCCAGACAAGAAGCACAAACTGGAGACCAAAGTCAAGAGGAAGAACCTGAACCCTCACTGGAACGAGACCTTCCTGTTTGAAGGTTTTCTAATGCCTTCAATGTAAACATTACAATATTCACATCCATGTTCTCTTTGTCCATCAGTGTGACACATTGGGACTTGTTTGTTTCAATTTTTCCCAAGGGTTCCCCTATGAGAAGGTGGTGCAGAGGACTTTATACCTGCAGGTCCTTGACTATGACCGCTTCAGCAGGAACGACCCCATAGGAGAGGTCTCCATCCCCCTCAACAAACTGGACCTGGCCAACATGCAGACTTTCTGGAAGGAGCTGAAACCATGTAGCGATGGCAGCGTGAGTAAAATGGAAAAAGAGGTGGAGGAGAGAAGAGGGGAGGAGGGGAAAGCAAAGACGGGACAGAATGTAACGGGTGATGTCATTCCTGGCTGGCGTGATGCTCCCGAGGGAGCTGTGGCAGCGTGCTGGTGGGAGAAGAGATAGAGGGGAATATGGAGAGGCTGACAGGTAGACGATGAGAACACAGACAGCCAGAAGGGAAAAAAACAGAAACACACAGAAAGCAACAGAGGGTAGAACAATGTGAAAAGGCAATAAAAAAGTAAACAAGCCTCCGTTGTTATGTATAATTTCTGCAGGGGAGTCGGGGGGATCTGCTGGTGTCTCTGTGCTACAATCCAACAGCCAACACCATCACTGTGAGCATCATCAAAGCCCGCAACCTCAAAGCCATGGACATCGGAGGCACTTCTGGTATAATAAATGCTCCTTCATCTTGCATGTCCTTATATTTTTGCCTTCTACATCAGCGCTGAATCAAAAATAAAACAAGACCATGATGGTTTTGTTCACTAGAAAATGTTTTTAAATCCACAGAAAAGCACACCATTGCATTGCACACCCGCATTCAAGTTGAAAAGGATGTCGTAAATTGACATATTTCACTCTCATTAGATCCCTATGTAAAAGTGTGGTTGATGCACAAGGACAAGCGTGTGGAGAAGAAGAAGACGGTGGTAATGAAGCGCTGTCTCAACCCCGTCTTCAACGAGTCCTTCCCCTTTGACGTGCCTGCCCACGTGCTGAGGGAGACCACCATAATTATCACCGTCATGGACAAGGACAGGCTCAGTCGCAATGATGTCATTGGAAAGGTATCACCGTCCCTCTTCTTCGCTTCTTCCTTCCTTCCTCCTGTCTTCTTCTTCTTCTTCTTCTCTTCCTCTGTGTTGTACTGACTCAGACAGACAGCCAGCAGCCAAACACTGAGTCAGTCTCTACTGACCCCTGCTGGAACATGCCACTCTTCCTCATTATAGATGAATAAATGTTAAACATGTGTAAATTAAAAAACACTTTTTTTTTTTTACCATGAACTCGCTGCTTTCATTTAGATGTATAGCAGTGACCAATATGTATGCCATGTAGGCCAGAGCAGGTACATGCACAACCAGCCTCCACCTTAATTTTTTTATAAATGTGTGTGTGTAATTCCCTCTCAAAATTAATGCAATATTCAGTTTAATCTTGAAAGGGAACGTGGTCTCTCCATCTTTTTGTTTAGTATCCACATGAACTACAGCTTTCCTTTAAGATAAATACCTTTTATGCCCAAAAACGGAAGATTGGCTCTTCCAAATTACTCAGAGATCTTAAACACAATTCAAAGCTACCATCTGCAAAGATTGCAAGTTAAGTTTTTAAGTTGTAGGGTTACCATTAGCCTACATGTGTGAGGTTGTTGGTTATTTAGTTTTAGGATCTGTTATTTCCTACAGATTGATTATTTCCTTATGCTTGATAATTGTTAGGAACAGTTCAGCTCAAGAGATCAGTTAGTGGTAATAAGTAGGTCACTTTCTTTCTCTGATATTCTTTGAAAGAGCTGCTCACTTTAAACCTCGAAACAAATCATCATTCATTCTTTATAAAATGCGACTGGATTCTTAATCTCACACATTGATCAGCTCTATGTACAAATGTACACCATTGAATATTCAACAATAATGTAATATAATAAATAAGACAATAGTGCAGTGGTGAGTAGTGCAAACAATAGTGATATATAAAAATGATACATTATGTAATAATGTAACAGATGGGTTCATTTACATGAGGTAGATGGTTTTTACAGTGAAGTACTCACATTAAGGCAGTGTGCATCGATAGAAGCTGAATCAAAGATAGTTTTTAATGATACACTTGATGTTTTCAAATAAGTAGTTGAACTGGCCAAGTCTGCACTGTTCACACAGTATGTGAGACAGCTGAACATGCAGAAATAGGACTTTGCCTTCATGCATACAGCACTGTCTATCAAAGTCAAATTCCTTGTTTGCGTGAGCATACGTGGCACATAAAGATGATTCGGATTCTGAAAAACAAAAACAGTAGTCAAATTAAAGAATTCTTCTCAGGAAACATCCTAGGAAAAAAATCAAGAATTTAAACTCCAAAATGAGTTTCTGCTGTTGCATTATTCCATTTCTTTCCCCCATTTTCCCCATTGCTAAATTCAATTTGAGTATTTTTCTCAACCATAGTAGATCATAGTCCTTGTGAATACTGACTGACTTATTTATTTAAACCAAACCCACCTTCTCAGTAAGTACAGATATGTACTTTAATGGAGTACAGAGCTCCGAGATAAGATATATTATGAAATGAAAAGATCCCCAAGCTGAAATCAAATCCTTGGTCCTTTAGACACTGTAAGAGTAATCTCCATTTAATAATGAGCTATTGTGTTCTCTGTCATTCATACACTACTACAGTAATTGCAGGTTTTATACTTACCTGTCTAACTGTATAAATGATCTGCCTACACTCAACAGTTAGAACATGCAGCCTATAATATCACAATCTGAATAGCTTGTGTTTGATTGGAGGACAATGGAAAACTTCAGCAGTGTTTTCTGTGACATGTACAGATCTTGATTTCCTTTCTACTTAGTGTCTGATCTTCATTAGTGTCAGCATTAGCCTTCTCACAGTAATTCAGCAAGTGAAATCTCTTCCTCTTAAGGCTTTTTTTCTGCCCTGGATTTGAGTTAAATTCCTATTAGAGTGGCAGGCTTAGTGCCGAAAGCAGGGCTAGACTTAACACTCACAGTGAGTTTTTTTTTCCCTTTCTTAATACCCCACAGCTTTTTTTGGGGAAAAGCTCTCCACCAATAAAATCAACCTCTGTGGGACATTACAAGAGATACACTGATACTTTTATTTGTTGCAGATTTATCTTTCCTGGAAGAGTGGCCCTGCAGAAGTAAAACACTGGAAAGACATGATGGGTCGCCCTCGTAATGCCGTGGCCCAGTGGCACGCTCTGAAGGCCTGAGGGACCAAGCAACCTTCCTGCCTACAGGCTTTCCCTCCCCAGAATCCAGCATCACTCTGCCCTCAGCACATACCCCTTCTTCTCCCTAACTGCAGTCTTTGGCTGGAGATAATGTCTGTCATCTCTTTGTTCTCAGGCCTCTTTGATATCCTCTGCCCTCAGTCCTTGTGACGCCATCCTTACATTTCACTCTTGTCAGGCTCTGATTCCCACCTGACCCCCCCTTTCATTCCTTAAATGTCTTTGATGTCGTCACTCATTTCCTCCGTATGCTCTTTTCCTTTTTTTCTTTTTAAAGATACCCCTCAGTCTGCCCTCCACCTTGTCAAACATGCCTGGTATTTAACATGACCAGCACATCTTGCCACCCATAAATACAAACTATCAACCAAAAATGGATCAAGCTGATATTCCAGTGATCCTCTGGGGCAGCAAGATGGGCTGTGTTCAAACCTGTGCAACCATTTTCATCTGGTGTTGGTGAGGAATTTCCCCCTCTGTTTCTTACCACTGTCTTCAACTCTTCTTACGGTACTGTCATTATTCTTCTACACCCTGAAAAAATCTGGAAATTCAACACAAGCTTAGGAAGAGAAATATGCTGTATGTAAAATGTAATTGGACTGGAATTGGCCTCCACTTCCACTCCTTACTCTCACTTTGGCACCACTGTAATAATTCTCCCCCGGCTGGAACCCTTTGTTGTCTGTGCGTGCTGTGGGTGATGTGCCGTAACCCAAAATGAAGTTTAAAAAAAAAGAAAAGAAAATAGGATATGAACATGAACATTTAAAGCTGGTTCCACAGGTCAAGTGTGAAAAAAACCTTCCTATTATTTGGAAAAAAAGAAATCCCAGTCGACAGGGGGAAAAAAAGAATACAATTAATGTTTTTGTTGTTTTGTATTGATTTTTTCTTTCCAAAAGAAAATAGAGAATCACCCTGTTCTTCCAGGCACATAAAATAAGCAAAAAGCCAGCTTCTAGAAGTGTGGCGGTGTGGGATTTTGAATGTGTTTGTGTGAATGAGGCAGTGTTGTGGACTTGAACAGATACATTTGAGATATTGTAGAAAACAGCATTTCCCTTGATCATTTAACATGAAGGTATTGTTAAAATGTGTGGTGTTGCAGTTAGTTGAAGACCTGGGGAGGTCACTATTAGGTTTCAGGGTCGGTTCACTCAAATTAAAGACGCACACACACACACACACAGTATTGTCTATTGACTGTTGGTGGTATAAAGGCGGGCTGATGGCATTTGCTGTATTTAACTGGGGTTTTGCCCCTGAATTGCTGCTGCCATATTCAAATGCAAAGCAGATCAATAGGATTTCATTGTGGTGCTAACAGTGTTTGAAATGGCTTTAGTGAAAAATGTAACAGTGGCTTGTCTTTCCAGAAAAAAAATCGGTGTTAATCAGCTAATTGAAAAACACCTCGGTGAAAGGGTTTTCATTGTGACTGGAGAAAAACATTCGACAACGAAATCTGGCCTCAGCAACAACAGTTATTCAAGCTTTATATTAAATGTTCTTTTGTCACTATTAAGAGGTTGGACAGGTTGAAGTAGCACACCGGAAACTAAAACAGATTTTTATTTCATGATGCTGCCAGGGGCATTTTATTTTAACAACACGTTAAAAAGGCTGCATTAAAGGTCCCTTTACTGGCTTTTTTTTTTTTAAATCTCAGAAAAAATGGTTTACACAGCTGAATGTTATATCATTATGTGGTAAACATCAGTGATGGGGCAATAAAATAGGCCCTAGGCTGCAGAAGATTAATAAGAAATAATGAAACAAAACAGCACTGCCAATGATATTTTTTGTCAGGTGTCAAATGTAATTGATCTGAAAATCAAAACAATACTTCTTGCTTCGGCTAAACTCGCATGTTATGAATGCAGGCGGTTAATGGCTCTATTAGGGTTACAGATGGATACGGTATGTTGAGAAATCAGATGAGGTGAGATCAATGTAAATGCGCTATCAGTGTCACCCAGGTAACAACATAACTGTCAGCCGTACAGCTGGATTAGCTGTTACATCCTACCTTTTCATTTTTACCAAACACTGAGTCCAAGTATCATTATTGGACCTGTTTTTTGTTGTTGTTGTGAGGTCTTTGAAGTTAGAAGTCAGTCTTCCAGTTGTTTGCCTCGCTGCCTGAATGTGACCTCCCCTGAGTCCTGTATAGGTCTGTGCTGACCAGATGAGTGGAAACAAATTAGAGTAATAATATCTGGGGGGGAAAAGTCTTTTTACATTCCACTGTTTGTTTTTGTCTTCTGGATGTGTGTTTGCGTTTGTTAGTATGTGTGTTTGCATTGTGGGTGAGTGTCAATATTGAAAGTTTAGTTTGTGTGATTGTATTTTCTGTGAGTCTCTGTGTGTGTGTGTGTGTGTGTGTGTGTGTGTGTGTGTGTATATATATACATGTATCTGCACTGAGTTCTATTTTGCCAGTTTAATACAGAACCGCATTGTTTACCGTTTTTATTCTGTATGAAACAATCCAGATGTACAAAGAAATGTTTTGTTTTTTTAAAGTCGTCACTTCTTTAAGATTCACTGCACTCGTTGAAGCTGATGCTGGAACAAACCTCTCTTAATAGCGTGTTATTTTCCTCATGAGTGGACTTTTGGTCTGGTAGGCAAATCGGTTATACACGAGCTGAAAGCCAAGGTCAAAGATAAAAACCACACAAATGAGCTTTACAGCCATGCTAGATTTAAATAAAAAAAACTTTTGTTATACCATTAAGCAATGGATTTTATTGCAAACAGAATTAGATAACCATATTTTGTCCTTTCTGTCCTTCTAATCTGGTCCGTTATGATTCATCAAGACCAAAATAAAAAGAAGGGTGGCACCTTGAAATCATTGCTGACGTTGCCCCGAAACTCCCCCATTGTGCACACATGCTTTCTGGCACAAAGTGTTCTGTGTGTGCCTTATGTACCCTGCCACGCCTCGCTCTTCACCATATGTGATCCCTCCCTCCAAGTGTCAGGGAGGGGGGGAGGAGAAAAAAGAAAAGTGAGAGAGGAGATAATCATCACCTCTTTGCATCACTGTTAGCTACATCTCAGGTCAGAGCATTGGAGCATCCCAAAATAACACAGTCTGTCCTGATGGCCCTGTGTGTGTTAAACAAGGCGTTACATTCCAAAGGCTTAGTGAAAGTCACTTAAATCAATGCAGGTACCATTTTCTTTTTCAAAAAAGTCAGGGTTTGGTGTCTTTTAGCTTTTAAGGAATCGAGCTAGATCTGTCCGTCTACACTCTTCACTAGCCAATTGCCATATTCTGGTACTTATTCTTGGACACGCTCGCATTTCTGATTTAGGGCATTCTCTTGTGGGGGAAAGCTTGAGACAAAGAGAGGTTTACCAGCAACATTATATCTGATATACTGTACAAATGAATGTGAAGTGTCCTGTATGGAAAAAAAAAGAGAAAAAAAATCATCAGTATATTCTGGGGTTGATGATATCTGTCTGTCTTTGGTATCACTCAGCCCCTCTCTCACGCCCTCTTCTCTTTGTAGTTACACATCCGTGGGGTGCACAATGTCAAATATCAACCATTTATTTTTTTTAAACCTGTACAGTGTATATAAAAACATAAATGTGTATATAAAACAAAGAAAACTCTGATATTGTTTTGATTGTTTTTTAAGCTTGTTTTTCTATTTTTTCAAGACAGTTGTGTATTTTTTTTTCTACACAAAGGCCTTAAGGGAAGTATTCACATCCTTTACTTAACTAATGGTATCAAACATTAATAAAGAAATATATAATTTAAAGTCCTAATCCTGCCTTAGTAGTAATCAGTAAAAGTACAAAGTGGCAAGCATTATCAACAACATGTACTTCAGGAATCAAAGTTAGACAGATCTCTCCGGGCAAAAAAGGCTCTAAAACTACATTTAAAACTTCATATTTAACTGCGATGTTGAGTATGTTGTTCCAGAGATTCCAAGAGGAATAAACCCCCCTCTTAAATGTCACCAAATAAATCTTAGGGTTCTTTTTTCATTGTCTCAGCATTTTGAAAAAACAAAGTTATATATATTTTTTTTATAAATAAGGATACCTTATAGTCATGTTTTTTGTTTTTTAAATGTTAAATACTGATCTGAAATGTAAATTGTAACAGCTGATGAAGTTTAAATATATGTTTTCCCCTGAAATGTTGAGAGTATTACAACGGCTTCAATTAGAACTACTCAAGTAAAGAAACAACAAAGTTAAGGTATTAAAAGTGATGCAGCTCATCTTCAAAGCATTCAATCTTCAGCACATCTGAAAGCTAGAGATCAAAGTGTAAACCAGTAGACTCTATCACATATTTCCAAGACAGTCGTTGCAAAATTACTTTCAATCTCACTTTGATAGATTGAGGGTGTTGATACCATCAGTTAATTTAGTAGAAGATACATTACAAATACACGGACAAACTCAGAAAGCCACTAATATAATAGACACATCTGGTTATACAGAGATTATATACATGTGCTTTCTTTATTATTCCTTCTCTTCCAGCTCGACAGAAATAGGTCGACGACTGTACGAGTGATTTTCACAGGTCTTCAGAGTTGGTGCTCCTCCTTAGAATTAAAGTAATTGCCTGTTCTGCCTCCCACAGTGTGTTCACTCCATCTTTGACACAAGATAACCTCTGAGTAAAAACTGTGTTTCATATGTCCTGCTGAGAGAGGCTGTCTAATTTACCAACTTATTTAACACGCTCAAAGTTAAGCGTGGCAGAAGAATCTCTCAGCAGAGAGAGCCGCTTCCCTCTGCTCACGACTCTCCAGGAGACATGTGAAGACATGATGAAGGCTGGGGATGCTTATGGTGTTGGTGGCGGAGGAGAGAAGAAACAAGAGAGAACATGAGATTGAAATTCCAGGGGAGCGGAGGGTGACGGCAAGAATGAGGATAAAACAGAGAGCTGTCACGACACAGGAAGCAGCAGTGGAGGATGACAGAAGCACAGGGCTACAGATAGGCACAGTGGGTGTGCGTGGGCAACTGATGAATACACACTCCAAACAAGCCTTCGAGCGAGAACGATGGGAATTCTGCTCCTCCTGCTTGTTAGATCCACAGGTGGCATCTTTTTTTTTTTGTCAAGACAGGAGATTATCACAGCCAGTGAGGATCGCTTTTAATGACTCTCAAATATACTTAAGTTTGTAGTGCATGGTCATTTAGTTTGAATAACTTTACATACAGTTAGGTAAGACTAAACTACTAACCAGGCCTTTCCAAGATTCAATTGGTGATTCAGTCTTTGGTGTTAATAACTCCAAAAGGTCTTGAAAGAAATGTTGAGAATCCCTAGTTTAGTCCTCTGTGTTTTTTCTTGAACAGTACATTATGTTTGAAAGTTAATCATATAATTGCTGGTGTAAAACCAAAGCCTTAATTTGCACTGTCAAAATAGGTAATGCACTGAAACGTATCCGATTGTAAATAGAAAGTTGCAGAAAATGCCAATTTGCCACAATTCCCCAAAATGAATTGAAATACTGCTCTTAAATAAATGCTCTTTGTTACCTGTCTGCATTGATTAGGACATAAGGTGACACAGATGGCAGAAGAGCAAAACACAGGGACACCCCCCTGACAACACTTTGGGACAACCTGCGAACATAAAAATGGAAGGCTGAGATTCTTACTCGACATAAAGTAACAAAGAAAAACAAACATCAACATTGGTGTTATTTCTGCAGGATTGTCTCATTTGTGTAACAGCTCACCAGTGGATCATGTGTACATTATTATTCCATGGGCGTACAGAGGCAGTCGTCTGCTTTGAGATTCTGAGCACATCTCCTGGCCAGAGGGCATTTCCCTTCTGCTCTCAGTACAAGGTTCCACTGAACCGACATGACACACAGCCAGGCAGGATATTTATCCCATGGTCAACAGACATTGATCCAGAGCTGGAGGAGGGAAATAATAATGACCTTGTCTATAGGTAAGGTCTTGAAGCAAAAATATGTGAATAAATTAGAAAACTGGCGTAGACGAAAGTTTCCCTGATTCTTTTTCATTTGAAATAAAAACATGCAGCCTATTCTGTTAATAGGGTCCCATCCATCCCAAAGAAATTTGATTTAATGAGTGTATTTTCAGATTGTTTGCACCTTATTTTTGTTATCGTTGGTAAATTTAAGATTAAAGGTTTAGTCATTCAAATAGAAGTTGGAGCTATGAAGTGTTGTTTTTGCATTTCTCTCTGCAGGATATATGTAAGGTATGTGACATGTGTGCTATGGATTACAGGTGAGCAATTTTTCTCAGATCAGGACAGCAGTTGTTTCATTTTGACAGTCACTGGATTAAGGTGATGTGGTTCCCCCTGGTGTCCACTAACAGGTACTGCAGGCCAAATCAGCTTTGTTGTGTAACAAATGCTCAGTGTCAATCATGGTCACCTTCAATATGTGATTTAACCCCATATTATATGAAAGTAGTAATAAAAGACCAGACACAAGCAGCAAATAACAGTACACACCATGATTTATTAAATAACCCAATATGTAATATAGGCACAGTAAAATCATAGAACAGAAGAAAACCATGAATATTAAACAAGCTTGGCTAATGAGTGAGTGGATACAGTTTTGGTATTCACATAGACAATTAGCTTGTATGTTTGTCAAAGTTGGTTTGTTCAGTTTGCACCTCAAACTCAGCAGTTAAATACATTCTTTAATCACAAATTTACAATACAATGAATGCAAAAATATTCAGAACAGCTTCATACTGTGTTGCATTAATGTCGATCAGTCTACAAACTTCTCTTGGCTTCTCAGATTCTTCTCCCTTAAACATTGGACTGAGACCGTTTTGGCGACAGTATGTCGTATGTAGGGTTGGGAGGGTTATGACCCTTATATTTCACACATTGTCCCACCTAAAATGAGTCTCTGAGAAGGTCCAGAGGTCCATCGACCTCATTGACTTTCCTTGTCCAGGTACTCCAAGTTGGGTGCGTCTAACCTCTGTTCCTGGTCACGATTCTTTGTGAACTCCTTGAGCATATCCATGACCTCTCCCTGGTAAACCTCAGGGGTGGGCTGAGCTTCTGAAAGCAAAGAGGAGAAGAGTTTCCTATTTATCCTCTTCATCATTATTTATCACTAACATGATGTTTTGCTTCAGACTTTATGATGTTTAAGTGATTCCTTCATAGACAAGAAACCATAAGGCATCCTTGTGGAAGACATTTGAGTCTCAGATCCCCGACTGTAATGTGTTTATAATTCTCTTCATAATTTATTTTGAATAACTTTTTAAATGTAAAGCAAACTTTTGATATATTAATACACCCATCACAATGAGTGACTTAATGATGCCTGGATGCAATGAAGTCAGTCTTCAACAATAAGTGTTTGATTTTCTAGAGTTGTGCTGCCAAGTGAATGTGTAGAGACTGTGATATACTGACAACATATTCAATCTTATTAATAGTTACAACAAATTAATAAAACAGTAAGTTATTCATGGACAGTAATTAAGAACATCAATTAGTATAAGCAGCCACGAGTGAAAGCCTATAACAAGTCCTTCTATTTAAAATGTATATTTTATTGTTCTACTGACTGAATTTCAAAATGTTGGATTTGATTTGGGATGCTTACAATTAACAAGTTAAATATTTGTTCTTTGCACTAACAATAGTTATGCTGCAAAGCTGAAATTGAATGTGAGGAGACACTCAGGAACAGAAATGAACTATTTTCTCACCTGTTGCCCAGTAGTAAATGTCCCAGTCATTGCTCGGTTCATTGATCAGTCTGTCGTATTGTAGCAGCTGGCTCTCACTCATTGTGTTCAGGTATCGCTTTGCAAAAAGGCTGCAAGAAAGTTGAACAATTGGTTTTGAAAGGATTTTCTTTTTTTCAATTGAAAGTCAGAGTTAATGATTGTATACAGAATGTGCACATTCTTCTTTGGGCTCCCATACATTAAATCACAGACTTATTCTGAATTATTCTTATATTCTTCTCAAAATATGATAAACAGACATCTTCTAATCTCCCCACAACCTCCATACACTTGTATTATTCTATATTTTTCCTAAAAAAAAAAAAAACTTGTCTCTGTATTGGTGTAACCATTACCTCTGTCATGTTCCTACTCCTACCCTTCTTGTCTCCAAACACTACTCAGAATTACCCATTTGATGTTTTATTGTGGTGAATAAGACATGATTATGAGATAAATGGTTATCCACCACAACACAGTGCCTGCTCTTCCCTGTTTTACGCCTACTTCTCATCCCTCCTACCGTACTCATTACATTACAAGAGTGGGCAGAATGAAGAAAAAAAAAAACTTGAAAGCAACCAAAGAAAGTTAAAAAGTTTGTCACACAATCATAGCACATTATTTTGACACACACACACACACACACACACACACACACACACACACACACACACACACACACACACACACACACACACACACACACACACACACACACACACACACACACACACACACACACACACACACACACACACACACACACACACACACACACACACACACACACACACACACACACACACACACACTAACCTGAGTAAGATGCAGTTCTCCAACATGCCCCTCTTGCGACTCTCGTACAGTAG